CAATGTATTTTATTGTGTTGTAAGCCGCCCCGAGGCTTCAGCAAGGGGCGGCATAGAAATGTAATAATAATAATAATAATAATAATAATAATAATAATAATAATAATAATAGATATTTTAAGATTTTCTATTTGTTTCATAGTCGCACTTTCTATTTTAGTTTCCTTTTTTTCTTAGTTCATATGTTCAATTTTAAATGTTTTAATAATTGTAGTTTTAATATTGTATTTTAGAATTTTTATATTACATAAGCATGGGATATAAATGCTTGTAAATAAATAATAAACAGAGAATTCCATGAAGGCTCCCCTCCCTCCCCTCTCTCTGGCTTTCCCCTGTTTACCTCCTACTCCAAGCCTTCACATGTTTAGCCATTACCAATTTCTCCTATAATGTGCAGCTCAAACCATGCATTTTCAGACACACATTCAATTCTACTGCTAGGCCAAAATATTTAGCCATTCTTTTCCATTAATATAAGAGTGCAGGATGGGGAAAGATAAATGTGTTTGGGGTGGGGGAGTATCTTGGAGGACACAAATCTGGCCATATTTATTGCATACGGGGAAAGCCACTGCATTGCTGACTGCAGCTCTGCTGCTGTGCTAAGTGGCAGTAAAGCTGCTGTATGTATGTATGTATGTTAAAAGGAAGAAGCAAAAAATTGTTTGCCACAACATCTTACATCGATAAGCTCTCTATTAAAATTATTTAGCCACAATTACTCAAAAGACCCTGAAATGTCACCCACTTTTGGGGGGGACAAAGTGAGAATGACCGACATAACGGTACCCAGTTCTAGTAGAGCAAAGGTGAACCTAAGAAGATGACCCAGAATCCTTTGCCATGTGCAAGGAGTCTGTGACAGATGCTTTTGGGTTCTTCAGCAGACACATTGGTGTGGTAAGTGATCCCTCAAGATAGAAAGTTTGAAGCACAATGCTTTATAGCATACCTTTTTAGAGAGTCATGTTACTGAAGAGTTACTCATTCAGTTCTTTCAATACAAAGAAAAAAGAACCTTCCCAGAACAGTGCCAATTGTTAGGAGCTTTTCACTGACTTACTAGGACATCTTCAGCAGTTCATTAGTTTCAGGCTTCCATACACCTCTCACCAACTGTTCAAAGTTGGATATTAGACCACCACCAGCTCCTGTAATTCAATAAAAATTATTACATGCGTAAATTGGTTCAAAGGGTCTAAGCTGCTCAATCATTCTTCTAGTTAGGACAACTGCAAAGCTGTCACATTATTTTCAACAGGAGCAAGGTATGGCCTTCAAGTTGGAGACATGAATGTTATGACCTATTTCACAGTTATTGAAACTGGATCCTCAATTTAAGACTCCTTAGAAAGCATCCCATTCTGAAATGTATTAATATTAATATTTCCTTAAAAATAATTCAACCAGAATCATCTTAAATTCTAACAAATCTGAACAGAGAAAAATGGAGGCAGTAGTCACTTGATACTCTGGAATTTAGAATTCATAATGGCCTCATTTTGTAAGGAACTAGTAAGCTTCATAGGAGATTGATTTTTCCTTTAGAACAGTGATTTCCAACTTGGGGTACACTTACCCACAGGAGTATGAACAAGGACATTTAAGGTCATGTGAAAAAACTGAATAATGGCAGAAAAAGGCACATACATCAACGGTGTAAGACAAGATACAGGTCAAAAGTTGTGGAATTAACTGGATCTTATGATGAGCAGCAGATTTATGGTTTTCGTTCTTATTTAACCTCTAGAAACATACCGTTCCCTCTGTTATTCCCTCACTGTTCCCTCACTGTTATTTTGGCAAATGGTGGGGAGTCCCTCCCTAAACAATGTGTTGTGAACACGCCACTACAGCATGTTTGTTTGGCAGTGAACATCTCACAGGCTCAGCTTTCACTCTCCCCTGCTTCATGAAGATTCAAGTGCTGTCGCAAAGGTACCAGTGTATATTAAACAGGCACTTCAGTTAGTCCTGTGAACAGTTCTTCCAGGTCTTCTCTACGTCTCTTCTCTTTGTCATAGTCTTTAATTTTATCATGACCTTATTATTCCACTGCCTTTTAATCCCATTATTGTGCTATTGATTTACACTTAACAACATATACATTTGAAATAACAACTATATTAATTACAAACATTTTGCTAATATGAAGTGTACAATTTATGGACATGGACTGCTAAGAGGGATGCAAGTGAAAAAAAAAGGTTGGGAAGCACTGCTTTAGAACATGAAGCAAGATTTATACAACAATATTTTTTTTAAAGAAGAAAAATAAGAAAAGTGATTTGGTAGGATCCGTGGACAGGATAAAGCCTTTGTCCAAAAAACAAAACACCTTTGGCCTGCTTCGGTCACTGTTCCTGGCTTAGATGGTAGGATTAGAGTTAGCTGACATAAGAGTTGCATGTTTGTGTTAAAAGAAGTTGTTTTCTATGTATCAGCATACATAGTCAGACCTCACTCCAGGGCGGCATTAGCTACTACAACTGAAAGTTAAACCAGGATCTCTTACCTAAAGGGCAAGATATTGTATCATGGGAATGTAACCCTAGGCATGCTTACCTTTCACCCGAAATCAGAGGGATTTACTTTGATTAATTAGCAGGATGGGGTTTCATTGCCATGAGGAGTAGCCAGAAATTGGAGTATTAAGTATTAGAGATTCCCTATCAAACCAAGGTTTGCAAAGTTCCAAAACCATTTTTTAAACAGGGAAAGATGTTACACATTACCTCTGGCCCAGCCAACCACTATCATGATCATCCAGGCACTTTTGTAGTGGCTGTGTGCATGGGCAATGCCACCTGTTATTTTCCATGTTCTAGTCACTTCCTTCATTCCTGCAACCACCAGTCGTATAGGCAGAAAAGAGAAACAGCGGTAGACTAGATCATGTGGACAGTAAAATATAAGATACCTAAAAAATTGAGGGGGAAAGTTTCAACCTTAGCTACTTCATACTTATAAATGAAAGCATGCTGACAAACTGAAACAAACACAGAACTTTTTTTTAAAAAACACACAACACAGATGTTATGAAATAATTCTGGTAGCATTGCGCAGCCAACTGGATAAATATCTAGAGTCAATCAGATTTTAATTAATTATATGTCATTACATTATCTACCATTCCTGCATTTTATATTGCTGTAGTATTGTGTTTTAATGTTTTATGGTAGTACTAATTTTTATTACATATTGTAATTCTACACTGGTATCATGAAAGCAGCATTGTCATAAAAGATAGCCTGAAAATAATCATGCTTTAATAAAGATGCCTTCCCAAAATACTGAAATGAAGACATCATTTCTTTCCAGCCTGAAAAGAGGTGAGGGAAAAGCCACAAGCTTTTTTGCAGGAAGAAGTGGTCATAACTAATATTCATCTTTTCAATTACTCTGGGAATGTAGAACAGCATGAACTATAACCTAAATTAATGGTAAATTTGGTGATGTGAATCTGTCACTAGGACATTCATATGGATCCATCAACAGACAACTCAGGGGATTTCCTAGGTAGGCAGAATGTTTTATAAATGAGCAACCAACCACCAACACTCAAATTGCCTACTGGTGACTGAACTTCTCCAATACACATAACCACATGCATTTGTATGCAACAGGGGTACTGATTCTTTTTCAGTCTGAAAGGAGAATTCCACTTTGGAGAAGCTGTCAGGAACCACATCTCAGTGGTGAATGGGCCTGGCAGGGACAGGGAGGACGCTGAAGGTAACAAAAATGCCTGCACAGTTTAGCTTAGTAACTATGCCAATAACTAAGCCACAAAGGTGACATTTCAACCATTCTAAATGGGGGCAATGCACCAAAGCTGGCCAAATGACTTGAGGATAAGGAAAAAAGTGAGCATGGCCATCTGGGAAACTGCAGAGGCCTGGATTTGAGATCAGCACCTCTGCCCAACAAGAGCCATGGAATGATGGGGGCAGATGAACATCAACTGAAGACAGAGGGGAACTCTGGGAATTGGCCTGCTCAGGCCCCCAACATTAAGTATTGTAGATTCAAGGGTAGATATGCAGTTGGGGGATGTGCACCATGAGGCCCATATCCTGCACACTGATTCTCCCATACGGTATATTAATTTATTTAATTTTTATACAGCCCCAAAGCAGAAGCTCCCTGAGCAGTTCACAACAACTTTTAAAATTACAAATGGCACATACAGATAATATAATATCACAAAAATCCAATATACAAATATAAAACAATGTAAACAGTTTTAAAAACTCAATAAAGTACTAGACCCATTTAAACGATAGTTAGTATCATATGCCATTAAATTTGTAGGAATAGAGGGCAGTCTTATCCTGGCACCAAAATGATGACAGCATGGGCACCAGGGGGCCTCGGTGGAGAGATCATGTCATAATCAGGGGTCAACCACCAAGCAGGCCCTCTCCTTTTCTGCCTTTCTCCAAACCATTCTTGGAGATAGCACTTGGAAGAAGGGCACCGAAGCTGATAACATAAGAAGATTTAGGTAAAATTACCTACTTCCTTGCATCATAATACTCAGGTTTAGGGCCAAATGATCAGCTTTCTGCTCCTCAAACATTAACAGTCAGCATAAAAGAGTTATTATAGCACAGTGCAGAACTGCTATGTTTCAAGGCTAGGCAGGAATGTAGCCCCAGTCTCATGCTACTGCTATATAAAGGCAAAGAGATAATTCTTTATCCTTCTTCTTGTGCAAGCCCATTTTATTGAAGCCAAAACAGCTTTTTAAAAACCTACATTGCAAATCCCAGTAGCACTGGAGAAGATCCAGGAAAACAATGATAGATGCATCATCAGCTGTGCAGAAAGCCATGTTTCCCTAAACTTTGCTATGTTTGCTCTCCAGATATACTAATGACGAACTATGTCTGACTTAAAAAGACTTGACCCAGGCCACAACATGGGAGTCTGTGGAAGAATATTCTTAAGCACACATAAGGGAAAAGGGTACCGAGTGTGCCCTGTATTTGTATTGTCCACTGATACACGGTCCCAAAGCAGTGAGGGGAAAGGAACAGTGAAATGGCAATCCAGTGGATTTACATAAGAACTAGACTTCTCATATTTAATGCCCCATCGGTGGGAATGCACAGTGGCAAATGGAGTGGGAGTGAGATTGAAAGGAAGCAGGGCCACCAGCAGAACTGGCTCCAACAGGCTCCTCACACCATCAGGTCTGCTAAGGGACCAGCCACTTTGAGTTCTTTACCTCCTTGAACTGATTTCCATTCTGGCTGGTCTTCATAACTTAGCAACTAAAAACAAGTGCTGATTTTTGTCTCCTGCCTGAACCCCTTTCCTTTTATCAGCTGTCTGTTTGATTGCAAGCTTACCATGGTTCTCTATAAGCCACCTGAAGGGCAAGGGAAAAATCCTTCAAAACTGAACAAAGGTTCATCTTCAGTCCTTTCCAGCCTGATAATGGCTCCTTCTACTAAGGCAAAATTAATGCCTCCAATTATGTTCACATTGCTATGGCAGCATAAGGCCACAGCTTTAACTTGCCCCAACTTAAGACACAGTGCTTTTGTGCTGCCAATGACCCAATTGCGTAACTTCAGTAAGGCAGCCACAAATAGTTAGCATCAATGCCATGAATTGTTTCAAATGATTTTCATACCACACGGGTCTCCTGACATTGTGAACTTGTCAAAATATGAGAGTAAGGAAGAGTTTGTAAGCATTCCCAGTACAACCAAGTTGTTTTATTACTGCTTGGAAAGTTGGAGTTGTGTGAAACTGATCAACTTAATAAAGACATTAAGTAATTAAGTAATATGCTTCAGACAAGCTGGATTAAATTTGATATTTAACAGGACTACAGATTTCACAGTGCTTTTAAAATACTCAAACTGAAATTATGTTTTCCTTATTTTTTTCCTTTATCTGTACAGCTCCCTTTTTACTGTAAAAGAAATTTCTATATCTTATTTTTCATGAAAGAGCAAGATCTGAAATGACATATCAAGATGTAAAATATCTTTATTCAAGCTAATTACATAATAAAAATATACTTTTCTCATCTGTTGTACACAGTCCATATATATTTCCTCAACATTACACTTGCAGTGTGGGAATACTGAATGTTTTAAAGCCACAATATTATGGAGAGAGGGGTTATCAGCTCAAAAGTAGTACATTCATTGATGTTGTGACTATTTGTACTAAAAATTTACCATAAATTTCTGAAGCTTTAATTCCCCCAACACCTTCTTTTATTTCTTGAAAGTTGCATAGTCTCCCTCTGGTCAGCAGCTGGCTGACCATCCGCAGCTGGAATAGCCAAATTGTGACTTTCAGATGCTGTGAGACTGCAACTCCCACAATCTCTCACCACTGTCTATGCTGGCTAGGGCTGATGGAATTTGAAGTGAAGCAACATCTGGAGAGCAGCAACCTGCCCAACTGATAGACAGTCATGTCTTTTTGCCTTGTTCCCAACAGGTGCTGTTGCAAAAGGCATTGTTTTCATTCTGATCTCCTGCCCACAGCCAGATCTGAAAGCAAGTCAGGTTTATCAGCAGAGTCACAAGGCATGTTGGCATGTCATTCTAAGCTACCCTGAAAAAAAGCCACAGTGGGTGGGTGGGTCATCTCTTACTCCTGGCAGAGCATCTGCTCAGCAGCTTCTCATGGGTCCTTTCTCTCTCAGTCCTTCAGACCACTGCTGGCATGTATCCCAGGGGACTCTGCAGCAGAAGTCTTCATTTCCTCATTCCCTGGATCAGCACTCTTTCTGTAATTGCCCCACCAGTGTTTAAGTATTTGCTGACTGATTTGGTTTGTTTTCTATGCTCTCCAAGAGTCAATGCTCTAAGGTTGCTGGCAGATGTAGAAAACTACCCCATCACCACCTTGTGCATGAGCAAAAATAAAATAAAAAGAACTTAAAAGTTGTGAATGCATTCAGGGCACCTTCCAGTACCACGAGCAAGATCACAAGAGGCGGCAGTAGGGTTTGCAGCTCTTGCCAGCTGGTTTTCTAGCTGCCACAGACATTGCATGAGAAAATTCACCATGCTGAGTTCAGACGTTGCACGAAGCCACCTTGAGTACAAGCCACCCTAAGCAACCTTGCCACAAACGATGGGTTCTCAGGGTGGGCTGTTTGTGCAAAACTACTCACAACTAGAAAAAAGCTCCAGGTTCAGAAGTTTAAAAGATTTGGAAAGTGAGGATAGACATCACTGCTTCAATAGGGCACATGAGCTGTTCCCTGAAGAAAGAGCTAAACAGACCCTTTAAGGTCACCACAGGCCCCCTTTCCATTTTACCCTTATAGCAAATGAGATAGGTGATTGTCAGTGGCTGAGTTCATCCAACACGGCAGGCAATCCTGAACTGCCCAAACTGACCACTCAGAAAATCACATGATTACCAGGGCAGCACAGACACATCACTTGGCCAAACAGAATAAAGCTAACAGGCTGATGACAGACATTGAAGTCTTCCATGGCTGCTCTTGCAAGGAGACTCTACGATGCTTTCATAATGAAAACAGTAAAATGGTGATCCCAGGTCCAAATGACCAAAGAAGCCACAGTGAAGCATGGAAACCTTAGGACAGACTGGTGATTCTCTGTGGTTTCAGAAAACTAATCCTGCCACACAGCAACTCCAGAACTGGGGCTGGACTACACAACAGACCCACAGCAGTAGGATTGCACCATGGCTTTCTGTGTCATGCAAATCCAGCCAGTGACTGCCCCAAAGTCACCCAGTGAGCTTCCTGGCCAAGTAGGACCTAGAATCCGGATCTCTCAACAACCAGTTCAACATGCTAACCATTATGCCACACTGACATCTCTCATTCTCACCTGTCAACAGCAGGGGACCTTTCCAAGATTTTATTATGTATGATTGTAAGTCACTTGGAATGCTATTTTCTTGGTAGAA